AAATGGAACTCCCATTTGACCCAGTGATCCCACTTCTAGGAATATATCCCAAGAAGCTAGAAACACCAATCAGAAAGGATATATGCATCCCTATGTTCATAGCAGCACAATTCACCATAGCTAAGATTTGGAAACAGCCTAAGTACCCATCAGCAGATGAGTGGATTAAAAAAACTGTGGTACATTTACACAATAGAATACTATGCTGCAGTAAAAAAGAAGGAATTTTTACCATTTGCAACAGCATGGGTGGAACTGGAGAGCATTATGCTAAGTGAAATAAGCCAGTCAGGAAAAGATAAATATCACATGATCTCACTCATTTATGGAATATAATGAACAACATAAACTGATGAACAAAAACAGATCCAGAGACAGAGAAACATCAATCAGACTGTCAAACCTCAGAGGGAAGGTAGGGAAGGGTGGGGGTAAGGAGGAGACATCAACCAAAGGACTTGTATGCAAGCATATAAGCCTAACCAATGGACACAGATAACAGGGGGGTGAGGGCATGAGTGGAGGGGTTGGGGGGTAATGAGGGGATGAGGACACATATGTAATACCTTAATCAATAAAGAAATTTTAAAAAAAACTAGTTAGGTAGAAATGACCATATAGGTATGCTTTTTTCAAAATCACTTTTAATTTAAAAAAATTCAACTACTGTTTACTTTCAATATTAGTTTGTATTGGTTTCAGGTTTGCTATGTTTTGTTGTACTCTGCTTAATATTTGATTTACTGACTTGAAGGACTGATATATTAGGCTTTTGACATGGCTCTTGCACAGTTATTTTCTTTTTTTCTAATCCTCACCTGAGGGTATGTTTGGAAAGAGGAAGGGAGAGAGAGAGAGAAACATCAATGTGAGAGTGAAAAATCCATTGGTTGCCTCCTGTAAATGTTCCAACTGGGGATCGAACCCGCACAAGTTATGTGCCCTGACTGGGAATCGAACCCACAACCTTTTGGTGTATGGGATGATGCTCCAACCAACGGAGCCACCTGGCCAGGACCACAGTTCTTTTCTGGTGTTGGAAAATTCCCATCAATGTAGCAGTTCCCCAGGAATTTCTACCTTATTTGTTCTAAGATCTAAGATATAGACAGGGGCGATTTTTGTTTTGTTAATAGCAACTTTATTTTCACTGGTCCAAAATAATTGTAATAATGGTATGATACGTTTCCCCCTAAATTTACAATAATGAAAGTTATACATAAATTATATAGATCACAAATTTTCTATAAGGTTTTACTTGTGAAGACACAAAAGTTCTAAGAGTTCAGAAAGGGGAAATGCCTTTATAGTTATGATCCTATACTAGATTTTTGCAAGATGTTACTATTGGGGGAAACTGGGTAAAGGGCACATAATCTCTCTGTATTATCTCTTACAATTGCAAGTGAATCTAGAGTTATGTCAAAATAACACGTTTACTTTTAAAATGCCTTCAAAAAGTATTATAATCCACACATTATATTTCTCCTCACTAGTAACTAGGACTATTCCTGTTTGAGAGACACTTAGGCCAGTTTCCTTCCTAAACCATTGTTCTGACAATGTGAATGAGACATGGATTTTTTCATTTCATATTGTTTCTATCCCAAACTCTTTCACGTTTCTAATGGTAAATCTATGAGTAATATATTGGGGGGAAATTGGAGTTTGGCTGTTGTCCAAAACAAAATTATGCTTGCTTTCATGTTTTGGCTTTCCACCCTGCACCTATCTCCACCCCCCACGACACACACATTTCCCCCACGGTACTAGGACCAGTTAAAATGAAATTATGATCAGAAATAAAACACAAAATGTTTCAGGTTTTTACAAAGGAGTCTTAATTAAAACACTGGTTCTCTTTCCTGTGCACTTTGTAAAACTTGGTAAACTGATGGTTTTTACCCAACTCGACAAAATAAACTAATCAGCTGTGTTTCTGTTGAACTGAGGTTTTGAGGGTCCCTATAAATGGGACAATCTACTAAAAATCCAACAAATTAGAACTGTTGTTAAGGCTGCCTTTCCCCCCGCCCTCATGTAGAAAGTGAAATTGCAAAGGTTATTCAGAAGGGATTCTCCCACCTTCCATTTTTTGACTAGTAAAGAACAAACAATTTTGAAGAATTTCTCTCTGATTTGGGACAAATTTCTGTGCATTAATATTAATAAAAAGTTCCCCTCTGGCCCTTTCTGGGTGGCTCAATTGGTTGGAGTGTCCCAAACACCAAAAGGTTGCGGGTTCAATTTCCAGTTGGGGCACATACCTAGGTTGTGGGTTCCATCTCCATTGGGGCATGTACAGGAGGCAACCAAATGTTTTTCTCTCACATCGATGTTTCTCTTTGTCTCTCCCTCCTCCTTCCTCTCTCTCTCTAAATCAATAAACATATCCTCAGGTGAAGATTTTAAAAAAAGTTTTCCTCTGCCCCAACACACTCTCCTTTCACTCCATCTTTCACTCCCATTGATTTCACAGGTATTTATTGGGTGACTACTATGTGCTACATACATAATTTTTCATTACTACAGATGCTATTTATTATTCAAATTACATCACAAATATCTATATCTTTTAGAACAAAGGAAAATATCTATATATATTAAACCCTAAACGACCGGTTGACCTTCTGACCAGTCACTATGATGTGCACTGACCTCCAGGGGGCAAACACTCAACGCAGGAGTTGCCCTCTGGTGGTCAGTGTGCTCCCACAGCTGTAGTACTGCTCAGCTGACCAACAGGCTCCAGATGCCAGGTGCCAGATGCCGGGCTCATGGCTGGTGAGCGCGCAACTGTGGCGGCGCCATAGCAGCAGGAGCCTCTCCTACCTCTGCAGCAACGCTACCAAGCTGTGGCAGAGGCAGGCACTACAGGGCTGGGATGAGCAGGAGTGGCACAGCGCTTGACCTGGGCTCAGGCTCCTCCCCGGCTGCCTGCCACTTCACGCACTACTACATCCCTCGGGGGATGTCGGACTGCCAGTTTCAGCCTGACCCCTGCAGCCTGCAGGCTGAAACTGGCAGTCCGAAATCCCCTTGGGGTCCCAGCTTGCGAGAGGGCATAGGCCAGGCTGAGGGACCCCACTGGTGTACAAATCCATGCACCGGGACTCTAGTTTGTTTATAATAAAATGGAAGTATCTGGACATTTTGGTCTACCTGGCCAAAATGTTTGTTTCTAAAGTTAAGTCTTGAACTCCTTTGAAAGTGAATAACTATTTCAAGGCGCTGCATACTGTACCTGACCTCTTTTGCTACAGAAAGTACTGGATTAAGTCTAGGCCTATCACCAGTAGTCTAGGAAGAACAACAAGGCTGAAAGGCAAAGGACTGAGTTGAGGACAGCATAAGAAGTCAAGAAGAAAGGCTAATTAATGGCTTTATTAGTAATGGCTCTGAGCTAAGGCACCCAGATTAAGGCACACAGCTCAAGGTGACGGAAACCTAAATTTGGTTTAGAATGGCATCTGGTTGACAGCCACTAATTTAGCCACTCTCAACTTCCTACAACAACCAAAACTTGGGGCTGAGAAAAAGAGAAAATTCACAACACAGAAAATGGAAGCTGAGGGTGTTGGCAAGCTGGGGGCATGTAAGTCAGAAAGGGCACATGTGACAACTGGGAAGCATGGCCTAAGCTGCACTGTTATGTTTGTATTGGTCATTTTATTATGTCTCCTACTAACATCTCACACCTTCACTATCGGTCTGCCCTATCATTCCCTAGACTCTTGCCTTGTATCCAATGCATGTTGAGAACTAATTCCTAGGGTTTTAGAAAATCCTTTAAATGTTACTTATTAAAAAGCTAATTCATACTCATTGCAAAACATCAAATAATACAAAAGATATAAAGTGAAAAGTCAAAGTTGACCTATCCTCCTGTCCAATTCCAACCCCTCTGAGATTACCACTCTAACCTGTTGGTATGTGACCTTCCAAATATTTTCATATTCTTTTACATACATGAACACACATAATTTTTATATAAACATATAATAGTGTAAATTGTATCCTGCACCTAGTTTTGTTTCCATAATATATTTTTGACATTCTTCCACTTTACTACATTTCTATGTACTACATTATTATTAACACCTGCACAGGATCCCATAGATAAGTTGTTTGACCATGCCTTCATTAATAGACACTTAGGTTGTCTCTGTTTTGCTCTTATGAAAATAATGCTGCATTGAATACCCCTGTGCACTTTTGTTTGTACCAGGGTGTGATAAACACCCATGTATGTGCAATGAATGCCTTTGCACATTTTGTACACATTTATAAGACCTTCAAAATAAATTCTTTGAACTGGAACAAATTCTTTTATGATTTTAAAAAGTTTGAAGTGTTGCTATACTTAAACATATATATTTTTAGATAGAGATTCTATTTTGTTAATTACCTAACAGTACGAAGCAACAAGAGATGCTATTACTATATGTAGAGAGATGCCTACTCATAAAGCTTATTCTGAGATTAATAGCAAGAATGGAAATGAGAACATGTTTCAGAATGAGAAGGGAAAATCTAGCCTGTTACCTTTCCTTTCTTCCATGGGTATGAGTGAGAACTTAAGGCTTAGGGGAGGGTTTGTTTGGACATTTCCAAAGTACCTCTGCCAATAGGATGGGCTGGCCTATTTTACAATCCACAGAATGTCCTCACTGTTGAGGATAGGAGCAGTGACCTGCCCTCCTTACAGAAGACAAATATTTGGCAAGTCATCCTGAAAGGGAACCAAGTTCTACTCTAGATGAAGGCTTTCCAATGTCTGGGGCTACGATTTCTTTGCATTCATGTCCTGTTACCAATTACACAGGGTACTTAAATGGTTTTAGGTTGGTGATGATGTCATTTAAATTTTTTAGGCAAGGGAAGAAAAATGGTTTTAGACATAGGCCCTTTTATGGAGTTGCTGGGAGAGTAGCCATGGGGAGAGGAAAGTTTGACCTGATGCTGTGAAGTGTTGAATTATTTGAGCTATTCACACTTACTGCTTCTCTGTTGGCAGGTTGCCGGAAGATATCACCATCAGAATGTTCCCACGACAATTCTCCTTCCCCTGTTTATTAAAAAGAAATAAAAAAGAATCATGCATACATAGAAGGGAAAAATATCACCCTTGTGACCCAGTAACATTTTTGGTTCTACAATCCCAAAATTCTCTAGACTTTTTAGCTATTCTTCAAAAAGCAACATTAAAAAATTTCTGGGTGTGCCTCATTTGTCAAAATAACTCTGAAGAAAGTTACCACTTTGCGAAACGGACCATGAAGCATTATTACTCAGAATTTTCAAGGTAAAAGGGAAAATAATCCCTTTCCATTTTAATATAATCATCATTGTCACTTTTGCTTACCTTATTCCAGTGACAGTTAAGTATTTTGCAGGTCACATTTAACTTGTGTTTAAACTACCCTTAATAAATGAGAGCTTTGAATATTTGGTCTGTCATGATTTGTTAAATTCACCATTGTATCTCTGAGAAGTTATGGTCTGATCTGAAAGTTAAGGTAAGGTTGAAATGTTTACATAACCAATATCCAAGATATCCTTTTCTACTTTTTTGTTTTTGCCTGATACACCTTTCTCTACGTCTCTATATCAACTCTTTGTACAGCTAACCCCATCACTGCTGTCTTCCAGAGTAACTGCCTCTAGGAATAAGATTTTACTTTCAGCCTGGAAAGCAACAAACATACAACAGATATAGATATTCCTCAGCTGATTAAAGATCAAAAACTAGAAGACAATTCCCAAGAATATTACCTGTGTTACCTATGACCAAGCAAGCAGATGGAAGAAGCTTGGTCTTAGAGATGTTTGCACCACTCAGTGAGTACTATTTGTGTGTGTGTGTGTGTGTGTGTGTGTGTAGATTAATACATACATATTTATCTATCTATATATCTGTCTGAGGACAAACCCAATAACAAATCAACCATATATTTCATGGGATAACAAATACAAAGGAATATAAACATTAAGAATTTTCTATTTCAATTCATCTCTTAAACTTTCAAGTCCTAAGCCTAAATAGTAATATGTGTCTGGTTTAAGCATATGGTAGCACTCTTGAGGGAAAATTATATATTATTGGCTTTTAGGGCTTGAAAAAGACCTTAAAATTAATTTGATAGCAATAGTATAATCAGTCAGTGACATAACAAATTATGACTTTAACTCTTCATGATTCAGAGATCATCTTATGGAAAAACAATTATGAATTTTGAACATTTAACTGGTGGCTATTCTAATCTTCTTGAAACACCCACTTTGACTATATAATTGTAACATTTCCAGATCAAAACCCTCAGTGGGTTCCCATTCAAGATGCTCTATAATTAGCCAGGACCTCATCTTTATTGAGCACTCACCTCCCACCCAACTATCTCAGCTACCCTTTGACCTCCTTGCTTTTTGTTGAACATGTACCTCTCATTCTTACTTCTATGCTTTTGCTCGTTATTCTTCTTCTGAAATTTTCTTCCCACCTCACAAACCCTATTGCTCCCCTATGCCTATGGAAACCATTAAGTTTTTCTTCCTCTACAAAGTCTTCTTCAAGCAGTCTTACATATTTCCAATTGCCTAAAGTACTTAGCATCTTATAGCCTGAGAGATGTATAGGAGTTCAAGCATAACTTTGTCCAACTGCTCCATTTAACAGATGAAGAAACCAATGCTCAGAGAGGAGGAGTATCAGCCATTCACAGTCACATAATGAGTTCATGATAGTTAACACTAAAACCCCAAATTTTCCGGCTCTCAAATAAGTCTGTTCCTTACATATGGGCAGGGCTTATTAATTGTGTTATTTATGGCTATATCACCACCATCTATAGCAATGCCTGACACATAGTGTTCACTCAATAAATACCTGTCAAATAATGGAATTGGAAAGCCTTCTCTGTACACCTAAAATTTCAAACCCTTCTGATATTTCTTATTCCCTATCTTTGCTTTTTGTTTTCAGCACTTAAATTATCTTACATTTTATGTATTTTATTTATTGTCTGCTTTCTCCCACTAGGATTATCCTATGAGCTTAGGCTTCAAATGAGAACAAGGATTTTATTTATCATATTCATTGATGTAACCCCAGTACCTAGAACAGTGCTGGGCACATAGTTAGTACTCATTCAATATTTCTTGAATGAATAATACTAAAATATCCTATATAATAAAGAGGGAATATGCAAATTAACCCTCATGCCCTCACAAGGTGGCTGCCTATGACTAGGCCAGCAGTGGGGTTAGTGAGGGATAACCAAACAACTGAACAAGCAGGCTGTGTGGGGTGACAAGGCCTGCAGGGGGGTTAGTGAGGGACGACCAAATGACTGAGCAGCAGGCTGAGTGGGGCGACCAGGCCAGCAGGGGGGCCATGAGGGGCAACCAGGCCAGCAGGGGGGGCAGTTAGGGGTGACCAGGCCAACAGAGGGGGGCAGTTGAGGGTGACCAGGCCGGCAGGGGGGGCAGTAAGGGGTGACCAGGCCAGTGGGGGGGGGAAGTTAGGGGCAACCAGACAGGCAGGCAGGTGAGCAATTAGAAGCCAGTGGTCCAGGATTGTAAGAGGGATGTCCAACTGCCAGTTTAGGCCTGATCCCGTGGGGTCCCAGATTGGAGAGGGTGCAGGCTGGGCTGAGGGGACCCCCCACCCTGTGCACAAATTTTGTGCACTGGGCCTCTAGTTTTATAATATTTTCTGCTGTAAAATGTTTCCTGCACCTGGCTTACCACCCTGAAAAGACTGTAAATCCCTTGAAACCAGAGACCATGTCTTAGACCCCACTCTATACTGCCTAGATTACTAGTTCTCCAAGTGTGGTATCTGGACCAGCAGCACCAGCATTACCTGGGTATTTGTTAGAGATGCAATATTGTGGAACCCAGCCCAGAACTACAAAGTTAAAAACTCTGCGGTACAGGGGGTCAGTGATCTGGGTTTTGACAAGCCCATCTGAGGATTATGATGCATTCAAGAATTTGAGAATAACTGGGCTGGACACTTAACATTTTCCTGGGTACCCATCACGTACTATTTATGTACTGAATTGAACTGCAGTTACAAATACAGAATTAAGTGCTTCACCAATAGTATACTCACCTCTTTCTTGTTATTCCATATCTGAGTAAAGATGGTAGACAAAGTCTACATGCAAACTATGTGGAAACCTCGACTGACCCTGTAACAGTGATGATGATTTCACCTTTGTTTATGTCTAGAAAATAATGCCCAAAAGTCAGTTCAAATGCATTGAAAGCTTCCTAGGTGGAGAGCCTCATAATAAGGCAGAAGGAGGAGAGAAATCAGGCCGGGCCTTTTCCCTCAATATATTTGAAATCTGTTTGGAAGTGACAGGAAATCAATAGAGGAAATAACCTAAAACATACACACAGAGTAACAACTGTATACACAAATGGAATGTATGTGCTTAGGAAATATTGAATGGGTGAAGTGAGCAGTCAGATGCAATCAAAGAAAGCAAAGGAGATATATGTATTACTATGTGTAATACTTTAAACAATAAAATAAAATTTTTAAAAAATCTTCCCTAAAGAATTTTTAAGTCAGTGATGTGGGCTGAGGTTATCTTAACCTAAAGAAATGGCATTTGCAAAGGACCAGAGCTTTCAAATAGCAAGTCAGACACTGGTGATGGCAAGCAAAGTGTGGCTTGAATAGAAACTTGTAATGTGAAACCAGAGAAATGGGGCTGATGGAAAGAGAAAAGGGTAGAAAGAGGATGAAAGAAGAAGGAGAGAAGGAGGGAGGAAGGGAGAAGGACAGGTTGTTAAGATAAATATCGGTGGTCAATCATTGCTGCATGAACTTCAAAAAAGAGGCTGCATGTCGACCTGATTGCCCCTAACATTTGATCCTGTCACCAATTTTTATGCAAAGGTTCTTATGGTTAAAAAAGGTATTTGTGGAAGTGTATCCTGGCACTGAGCACTGACTAGTTAAGAAGCTACTGGAATCAGGGAGGCCAACCAAGAGGTTGTTTTAACAATATGTGATAGGTCATGAGAATCTATAAAATAATGGAAAAGAAGGGGTAAATCACACTGCTACAGTTTAAAAGAAAATTAAAATACCCAGTGGAAGATTTGCTAATGGAGGAGAAAAGAGTATAAAATAATTCTAGGGTTGCAAATCTGGAGAGCTGGGAAATGGCACTGCCTTTGACAGTGACTGAGCGGGGGGTGATTATGGATATACTTGTTCTGTTGTAGCTGGCAGTGGTGGCTCTAAGGCTTAGTAAGTGGTTCTCAACCTTCCTAATGCCGCGACCCTTTAATACAGTTCCTCATGTTGTGGTGACCCCCCCAACGATAAAATTATTTTCGTTGCTACTTCATAACTGTAATTTTGCTACTGTTATGAATCGTAATGTAAATATCAGATATGCTATATGTGTTTTCCGATGGTCGCGGCCCACAGGTTGAGAACCGCTGTGAGTCTAAGCTATGTTCTGCGCCAAACAAAAAAATAGGTCTAGAGAGAAGACTTGAAACCGTACAAAGTTCACTGGCAAATGTCAAAGCAATATGTAAAAGCCATAGGATATGATTTCAAGACTAATCTAAATATCCAAAGGAGAACAAATTACAAAAGAAAAACGATAAAAGGCTCTCCTCATCAAATGCCCTTTTAAAAATATAGATTTAATTATTGATATTGACATGAAATATTTACTCAGCATGGCCTTCTGAGAAGTTTGGTTTACTCCATTTAGACCCTACATTCTCAAGGGGCTTTTAAATAGTCTTTTACACATATTTTACTTATTTTTTATTATTGACAGTATTACAGATGCCTCTCATTTTCTCCCTTTTTGCCCCCCTCCACCCAACACTTGCCCCACCCCAAGCTTTCCCCATACTATTGACTGTGTCCAGGGTTATGCATATATGCATATATCTTCTTTGGTTAATCTCTTCCAGCCCCCCTCCCATCCTCAAATGAGATCTGCTATTCTATTCCATGAATCCATACTTCTGGACCAGTTTTGTTCATGAGTTTATTTTGTTCATTAGATTCCAAATATAAGTGAG